GGGTTCCTGCTCGGAGGGTGTCTGCCAAGACACACAGATCGTATCAGGCTAATTTACAAAAGGAAAACCGCCCTAATTAGTGTTCAGGAAAGCACTTTAATGAGAAGAGCATTAGTGCAAAAAGCAAGAGTGCCAAGAGGTCAAGCTGCTCCTAATGCCAGAAAAACAGGAAATGGGGCATAGCAGATCTCTGCCCACCCAAGCCGCAGCACTATTTTCTCATTTCTTTAGTAATATCTCAGGCTATTAGTGAGGAATTTAGAAAACCCAGAGCGTAATGCAGCGTGGCGGGGCAGAGCCTCCTTCGGCCGCAAGATCTGATCATGGCCATGCCGGGTGTGGATCGGCTCCTTTTCGGGGCAGAGGGCAGGTTTTGGGGGTTTCATCCTGCGAAGGGACGAGCAGAAGCCCTGTCGATGCCACAGCCGGCTGTGACGGTGGCCAGTAACCATGGCAGCGGAGGGATTCGCACGTGATATCGGCATTTCTGCAGCACAAAAGAGCCTCTTATCTACAATGAGTAACCGGGCTGGCTGGTCTTCATTCCTCTGCCTTTTGCTAAGGCAGAGCACCACGGGGCAGCTCATGTGATGCTCACCAAATTCGGACCATCCACGTGATGCTCGCGCTGGGACACATCCACATCATCCACGGGAGAGACAAGGGAGGCTCCAGGATGCCCTGGATGCTCACCCAGCCCTCAGCAGCGGTCCCGGTTTGGGGGGCAGAGCCAGCCCTCCCCGCCCGTTCTGGCAGATAAAGCTGGGGAGGGAGCAGTGATCGTCCTGCTGAGCTCGGGCTCGCAAAAATGAGCATCTGCGAACCGTGTGGAGCAATTTGGGCCGTGCTGGGTGACCCCAGGGTGTCACAGCCCGGAGCTGTTCCCTGGCATCCCCACAACCTGATTTATCTCAATTCTTCAGTTGTTTACATTCTTTCTCATATTTCTTCCAGTTAATCCAAGAAAACAGTTTTGAGATTTTAACTGTTCGACTTCCAGCTCTTCTCCTGCATCAAGTGACTTCTAAAAGCAGGGGAAACTGCATGAAAGAGCAGAGGTTTCTAGGCTTCAATTCTTCAAACCCAGCTCACTGATACTGCCCTTAAACATTCACCCGAGGGCATGAACCAAAGTGGGCAAATTTCATCCCAAAACCAGAACAGGTAAACGAGGAAAGAACGAGAAAGGAAAAGGTCATTGAGCCTGAGCTCAGCCTAAGCTGCTGCTAACGAGGGCTGTCATGGGCATCCATAGGTTTGTGAATCTCTGTGTGGCCCTTCCCAAAAGGTAGTCTGGCATCTTTTCAGGGTGTTAACTCCAGTGGGATCATTACTGCATTTAAAAGGAGCTGTGTGCTCACAGCAGAGAAATCAGACTTGTATTAGCTCAATTTTAGGGGAAGGTAAAAGAGATTCTGACAGATTTATATGCAAGTGTCGCTCAAAGCAGAGCTACACAAAGGAAAAATATATATACAGACAGAAAAAGTGGGTTACAGACTGTTCCCAGAACCAGGAGTGTGTCGTGCTGGTTAAGGTCTGCAGGTTTCAAGGTTGAAGCACTTAATTTTATTTCAAGCTTTCTAATTAAACACCATTTAACTGGGCTTTCCATTTATCCTTCAATTTCTTTCTGGACCTGAGTCTAATCCCCAAACCTGCTTATTTGCTTTTACTTTCGTTACAACCTTATCAGTGATTAACCTGCAATTGCACTTAATCTTTTTAAAAGATTTCCCTGGCTATAAATACAGAGAAGCTACCTGCCCTGTTTCTGTCCAGAGGAAAATAACTTCCTCCACTGTCAGATGTTTGGGGTGGGTCATATTATTCTTTCTGTCAGCTGATTTTTCTAATGGGAGACATTTGTCTCCTCTAACTTCCTACAGAACATTGAATCAGTTCTCTGAAAGACACAGGCCATAAGGAATATGCATACACCCCCAGTATAAAAAAAATTACATATATAAAAACACAGAGAGTATATATAAAGCTCCAGTAAAGATGCTACTGGTGACAGTGAGGCAAAACCTACCACATTCCTATAGCTCCAAAGACAAGCTCTGCTTATTCCTCCAGCACTTCTCTATTCCACTTATTTCACTAAAAAGCAGCAACAACTAAAATATCACTGCAAGAAGACCTGGTTTCTATGGCAATAAGCAGCTGCCCATCAAGATTCCCCAAGTACTGCATTAATATTATGAGAGGATCTCAGATCGACCCAAGACTTAAGGACATCAAGAGGAATGAGCAAAAGCTAATAAGAAATGCAGTAAAGGTACATGGAGTGTTACCAAATCCATCAGGAATGTTCCAAGGGCAGTGGGAGGTACACCAAGTCATGAGTGCCCTCTGTAAGATATTTAGTGGAACCAAAGCAAAGGAAGCCCATTGCAAATACAGCAAAAAGAAAAAAAAGAATGGAATTTAAAAGTTCAACAGAAGAAAGCCTCCATGGCAACCCCTAAAACAAGAGGCACTAAAGTCTCTGTCCTCTGCCATCTCTAAATAGCCCTGCAGAGCAAACAGACCTGAGCTCAACTCCCCAGCCCAGCCTGCAAGTCTAGCCCTACCTTGACCTTAATTATTACCTGGAGAATAATCTCTCCAAAGAACTAAAGCCATAAACAGATCACAGAGAAGGATAATTTCAGATCTCCCCATGGTTCCAGAATTACCAGTTGTGTTCCCATCACCATCTCATGCTGTGTGTTGAAAACTAAGATCTTCAAGCAATCTTTGCTATTTAAGAAAGTTTTTTTCCCTCCTATTGGTGGTTAAAGGCAAATTACAATTCTACTACCAGTATTATGTGACCTCTGAGCCTCTCAAATATTTATTAGGAAATCTGAACTGCATGTGAGGATTTTCTGGCTCTGTCAGTGCATGAGTGAGCAAGAAGTTGAAATACAGCAGTAATGTTGAAATAAATCCATAGCATGTGAATGGTAATCTACATGGTGTTTATTGCAGATACAGTGAATTATGAGAGCAATTACAGCATACTGTTTATTTAAATGCTCTTTCTAAAGAATATTAAATCATAGCAGCAAATCAGAGCCCCAGTTTGATTTTTACATGTTTCCTGGTTTGATTATATGAATATTCAAAGAGTGCAAAAAACTCCCAACTTTGCACTCCCCACCAAAGTCTTCCACCTGGCAGGAAACCACTTGCAAATTACTGAGGATGAGAAATATTCAGGGAGGTTTGGGTGAGTACAGGCTCTCCCCTGCAATTGTGATGGCTTCAGACCCTCCTACAGTATAGCAGAACTAATTAAATTTGTTTATAAAGAAAACAAAACATTGTTAACTAATGCTAACATCTATTCTGGCTTTCTTTTTTTTCCCCCCACAGATACCCATACATTTTGCAATAGAGAGGGGAAAAACAACAAAAGAAGATCCCAAAGGAGGTGAAGGTCAGCCCTGGGCTGCTGATGGGAAGAGGGATCCCCCAAGGGGTGACACCAGCGCTGCCACCCTTCACCAAGAGCCTGGCTGTGTCACAGCCAGACCTGTGGAACCTGCAGCACTGCTCACAGCATTTGCTCAACGCCTGAGGAGTCCCTTGGCCATGGTGACAGGGCTGCTCCTTGCAGCAAAATCTGCCCCAAGTTTCCCTCTAGAGGATGGAAAGTGGCTCCTCTCGATGGAGAGGTGCATGGACAGCCAAAATCTTGGGGACGATCTGCTAAACCTCATCCAGCACCACTCCATGCACTGCTTGCCACCACCTGTCAGCTCAGCAGCAGCTCTGCTTGGTGCTGGCTTTGAGGAAGGTGAGGAAGGAGCTGGTGGTGCTGGAAGGAGATGGGACACTTGAGCCATCAGCTGGGTGCTGGCTGCTGGGCTGATGTTTGCCTTCCCCTCCAGCACCTGGTCCCAGCACAGCTGGGACAGTGACTGCATGACTTCAGTGAGGAGCAGTACCAGAGTGGCTTCTCTCTCCATGGGAAATGTGGCCAAGAGCCAGCCTGAAGTGTCTGAAGGGCTGGAAATTGCCTGCTGGAAATGTGGATGTCACTGAGGTCCAGCAGTCAGTGCAGGGGAGCACCTGCATGCTTGTGCACACTTGCTGGTACTTTACAGGCTCTGAGCTGACTCTGAAACACTGTCTGGGAGAGGAGAGCACTTACTGCACTTCTGTCTCCCCTCCCAGCTGGGAACCAACTCAGCTTCTCCCTCCCAGCAGTGGCAGCACAGAAAAATCCCAGAAAAAAGGCTGGAAAAGAACTCCAGGATCATCTCATCCCAGATTGTGCTTCTCTATCCTTGAAAGATGCTCATCAAATCTCTCCATAAGAACCCTCAGTAATGGAGAGCCCACCACCTTCCCAGGGTGGACAGCTGGCCAGAATTCTTCCCAGTGGCAAAGCCAAGGTGGTCTTGGCACCACGCTGGGACCCTCAAAGCATCTTGCAGTCTGTGCACTTGGGGACAGAGCCTGGCATTCTCATGACAGCTTGATTTGCTCCATGCTTTGCCTGTGAGCACAGTCCACATCCTTTTTGGATGAATCACTCCCCATTGCTGCTGTCAACCTTGAGCCCAACAGAGAAACCTTGTTGTTTTTTTTTTTTTTTTGCCTTGGTTGTTTCTAGCCAAGCGGTGACTCAGCTGTCAGAGGTGAATAACTCTTCATGCTTTGTCTGAACACTCATTAACCATCCAGAGCCATAAAAAGCAATTTTTCCATAGCTCTTCCTCCACAAGGCTGGATTTCAAAGCAAGAGGGCTGACCTGAGATTTAGTGGGAAATTAATAAAGGTGCTCAAATAGAACTGCAGAGCATAGAAACCTTATATGGTTCTGGGTCAAATGGCAGAGGGTTTTATCAGCAATGATTGAGGGTCTGGGCAGTAGAGAGAGGCAGATCCTACCCACAGCACATAGCAAAACCTACAGCCACTGCATGGAAATCATTAACAACAAAAATCTGCTAGCACAGGCATTTGCCTGACTCCTACGTCTGCCCCAGGACCTGCTGCTGTTTCATTTCTCTTCTTTTTCATCTTTCTCTGAAATCTCAGCAGCAAGGATTTCCTCGTCTTCTTTTGCTGTGGGAATCACACGAATGGTGACTGAATGATCAGAAGATTCTGAGGATATTTCTTCTCCCAGGCGGGTTTGTGCTTTGCGAGATGTGACAGGTGATCTCTGGTGCACGGGTGATTTTGGTGGGGTTGGGCTGACACTGGAACCCTGCAATAAAAAATCAAAAAAGAGGCAAAATCAACCTTAGTAGATCCTTGCCCACTACCCCTAACATGGCAAATCTGGGTAGGTGTTCTGTGGTTTCCCCACAGGATCTCTGCATTGGGATGTCAGTGTGATTCCAGAGATGCTCCCTGCATGAGGGGCTGCTGGATTATTCCCTGAATGTCTTGAGAAACACAGAGAGAGGGGCACAGCAGAGCTTTCTCACATCTGCACTAACTCTCGTTTTGCTCCTGAAGCTTCTGCAGGGGCTGATCTTGGCCAAATGTGGCACCAGGGCTGTTGTGAGGGAGCAGCCCCACACTGCCCTGTCCTTCAGAGAGGAGCCTTGGAAGCCTGCCCCATGGATGTGCCATGGAGAGGGATGTTAGCAGGGTCCTGCTCACCCATTAGTGGGGTTAGTTCCCAATACATGCACCCTTCAGCAACTGGGCTTGTTTTCACTCATTCTGAGCCCTCAGTGCCACTGTTCACTGCTGCTGTTAACTGGTTATGGATTAATGTTAAACATCACATTGTTTGAAGCCTCTCTGCCTCTGAAGGACTGCAGAAATGCAGCTAAGCTTGGCATTAACCTGGTGTTTACCCAGCCTCAAGGCCACTGCACTCCCTATGAGCTCCTCTTTCCCCTCCCTCTGCACATCCAGATGTGATAAGTGTGCACTGAGAATAGTAACAACAACGTCTGCATGGAGACAAAATCTTCACGTTTAGTTGAGACTGTTGGAAGAAAAAAGGGGAAAAAAAAGGGCAGGGCCATTTTCCTTTTCAGCTGCTCATGACAAAAAGCGAGGGGGTTCATGAAGAGGTGGCAGGATGGCATTGCCTGCTGTGGGCACCTCTGCCCAAACAGCTGGGGAAAGCTTTGAAACATCAGCTGGGCTGTGGGCGCTGGGTGCCCCTGCCAGTACACTGATTAATTATGAGGGGCTCTGTCTCTGCAGGATAGAAGAGAGATTCATTCATCTGTGGCTATAGTCTAGCTAGAAATTAGACTGTCAGGCAAAAATGTGATGTATTTCCCTTTTGTATAGCAGCACAAACCCCTGTGGGACACTGGCATTCCCCCAAAGGCCTGTGCAAGATGTTGGCTCACCCCTCCTGTCTGCCCAGGCTTTCACAGACCCCAGCATCCTGAGCATCCTCAGTCCTTTGAGGCACCTGAACCACTCCAGAGCTGGTGGGGAGAGCACACTTGGCACCCAAGGGAGCCAAGCCAAGCTGGCACATTCCCTGTGCTGACCTGTGCCTCCTGCATGGCCCTCAGCTCCTTCAGCCTCCAGCGGAGCCGCCCCAGGGGCCCCTTGCCCCCCGTCCTGCCCGTGGCAGCCAGGGCAGCCTTGAACAGCTTTGGGGTGTCAGCTCTTGGGGGGATGATCAGTGCATCTCCGGGGCCTCCTTTCTCATCTTTGGGTTTGTTGTTGCTTTTCAGCATTTTCCTACAGAAAGGGAGAGGTGATGTCAGTCCGGGAACATGTTCTATCAGCTGGATTTTGTAATGCAGAGACACCAAGCGTTAAAGGGACAAGGATCTTTATGTGTCCTAGGGAGGACAGAATAACAAATCTAAGAAATGCTAAAAACTTAAACAGATTTTCACCGGTTTTTAAACGAAGGCACTTTGGCCGTGCTCGTTCCCCATCTCCACCCCCTTTGAGAGGTGAATTTTCGCAGCCGGAGCCTCCGCAGGCAGCGGGGACCGGGTGCCCTCTGCCGAGGGACAGCAGCTCCAGCCGGGAATGGGGACACCGCCGGGAATGGGAGAGCAGCACCTGCAGAGGAGCTTTCCCAGGGTTTCACACAGAGACAAAACCCCCCCGAGCTTGCCAAGCCCAGGCTCTGCTGTTCATAAACCCCCCAGGTGAGAAAGCAGCAGCCCAGCACGCACTTGGCTTTCTTCCGCAGCAGCTTCTGAGACTCCGGGTAATGCACCAAGATCTCGTTCAAATCCTTCTTCTCCAAAATAAAAAGGTTGGCAAAGCCGTGTGCCACCACGTTTGCCGTCCGGCGATTTCCACCCCCTGCTGCCAGCAAACTGTGAGAGACAATGCAAGACATCAACACCTCTGCTCACAGCTCAGATGTCACATCTGCTTTACACATCTACACCTCTCTGTATCAGGGGACTCAGAGCTTAGTTTTCACTCCTGATGGAATTTATCATGCACAATTTTTAAAGAATGATAAAGGGAAACCTTGCATGGAGTACTGTATAAAAAATTATGTGTGGGTTTGAAGGGTTAAGTATTGAGTTTTATACCAGTCTAGTGTCTGCTGGGCTGTGGGGAGGCAGCAGTATTGCTGTGTCACCAACTGGTACAGGGCTTTTCATTCCCATTAAAGGGGTGGATTAATCACTGGGAGACTGTATTTGTGAAACACCTTTTCTGATCAATTTTCCCACTCCTCCATCCATATTCCTCTGTTTATCATCACCAGCTCCCCAGGCAGAAGACAATACAATGACAAAAACAGCAGGAAAGCTGTAATTTTCTCAGCTGCTGCCCAGTGTTCATGGCTCTCAGTCACAAAGATTAATTGGGATGCTGCTGATCCTTCCACTCCCCACCCTCCTCACCCAAAGCCCACAAGCTGCATTTCCCCAGCTCCCTGAAAAAGCTTCACTCACCTGATTTCCCCAAAGACAGATCCAGCTTTCAGAGTCACCAGCACGGATTTGCCATCGGGTCCCCCCAGCACCTGCACTTGTCCTGCCTGGATGATGTACATCTCACGGCCTATTTCTCCCTGCAGGGAACAGGGGACCTGGCTGGGATGCCCAGAAACAGGGAGACCTCATGGATGCCCTAAGCAGCACCTTGCTGGAAATCCCCATGGCCATACTGCCCTCTCCAAGCTCCCACAATGTCTTGATGGTGCTCACTCCTGAGCATTCTCAGAATGACTCCAACAAGCTTTCCCCTGCTCTCCTGCTGTTCAGAGCTGCAGCAGAAGAGGTCAGTCTTTGCAACGGATGTTTTTGCCCAAATTCCCTCCCTGTGAGGTGGCTCACCAGGATGATGGGCCAGGCCTGCCTTTCCCTAGTGGCTCTGACTCCCCAACATCTCATTTTACCTTCTTGCACACGTAGTCGTTGGGCAGGTAGACCACTGATCTGAGCCGCTTCAGCATGTCAAAGATCATCTGTCTGTCACAGCCCTGAGTCCAAACAGAGCCAAAAGGTGCCAGCATTAGTCTGTGCTGGCGTGGCAGGCTGTGGCAGCCAGGGCCTGTGCTGCAGGGGTACCTGGAAAAGGGCCACTTTGCTCACGATGTTGTAGTTCACGTCGATGGCGATGTCCAGCCTCATCTTGTCTGGCAGCTGCACCAGCAGCTCTGACTCATCTGAGAGACAAAGCAGAAAAGTGGCTGCTTCCAACACTTGATCCGAGAGCAAGTCTTTCATGTGGCAGTGGGAAAGCAGTCCACGTTCTGGTGGCAGAGGGCAGGAGCCAGCTCACACAGAAGGGTTTACTCCAGGCTCTGCCCACCCAGCAACCTGCAGGTCTAAATCTGAAGTGTGATAGAAAATCATTCTTTGCATTATTCTTACCCTGGTGGCTCTCAGAAACAGACCACCGAGCCCAAGTCAGCATTTTTCTTGTTCAGGATGGTGGGAACAGAGGTTCTGGTCCTGCCTGATGACTTACTGGCAGGGTGAGCTGGTGGCTTCGCTGCTGGACACTCTGGCCAGTGACTGTCCTCTCTCCAGGGCACGTGGGATGCTGGACTCAGGGAGTGATGCCAAACCACCAAAGTGCTGTGACCCAGTGGCAGTCTATAACCTCTACAGGTTGGCAAACAAGCCCGTATACTGAAGAGTAAAATAAGCCACCCTCCACCCCCAACCTGTAATTCTATTTGACAGCAACATTTCAGCTCTGCAGAGCAACCACAATAAAACAGAAGATTCAAGCATTCACCCTTGGAGTGGCTGGATCTCACCTAGCATGCCCTGAGAGTGCCATGTGTACTCATACCACGTCTTCACCCGGTTCTGAACAGTTCTGGGGATCTTGTAGAAGTTCATGTATTTAATGGTGCTGTCCATGCAGCTCCGGTAGTAAGTTTGCCCTGCAGTAGCAGCACCAACCACGTCTCTCATCTAAATGGAAGAGGTGGCGAAAATTAAGTTGCTGTCACTTATCCATCAGCAGGTTAAGCATGTAAGCCAAATCTTTTTTTATCTTGCACCAATGCTGAGCAGGTCTTCCCATAGGGAAAACAAACCCAGAGAAGAAAACCTGTGGATCAAACCCACCAAAACCACCCCCACTCGAGGCTGTAACCCCCCCCGACTCCAACTCACCTGCCCTATCATGACAGAGAAAGCAAAGACTCCTGTGAAGTAGTTCAGCAGCTGGAAGACAATCTCAAACAGGGTCTTGGGGTCTGGCAGGCCCCCGATGGTGATGAGGGTTTTCACTGCCCAGTAGTAACAGCGGATGTAGCTGGGAGGAGAAGAGGAGAACAGAAGAGAAGAGGAGGCAGCTCTGAAGACATTTCTGTTTCACCTCTCAGCACCAAGATCACGGCCTCTGGCCATGGCAAGCCAGAGCCTGCTGAGAGTAATTATGGATGGCAAAGGGAAAGACTGAAGGGCTTCAGACTCCCCATCACACCTGCAGGTGCTTCTGGAGATGCTACAGGAGCATGGGAACCAATGGTCCCTCCAGGAACCTCCACTTGGGAGGCTCAGCTGCTCTGGTTACTCCTGTTTTCTGCTCCTTACAGCTCTGCCATAAACCAGCAACATTTTCACTTTTAGATATGATATATGATTTAAATAATCACTTTTAGATAAAGTATTTTCAGCAACATTTACACTTTTAGATATGGTATATGATATATGATTTAAATAATCACTTTTAGATAAAGTATTTTCAGCAACATATACACTTTTAGAAATCTGCAGGGGAAAAAACGTGTTTGTGATCAAATTGTTGGCATAGGATTTAGGAGAAGCCAAGTGAATTCCTGATTCTCTGGTCTTGGGCATTCCCTTGGGTGTTTTGTTTCACCTGAAGGTGAACACAGATTTGTTTATCATACAAAATAACTCTCTAGCAGCAACATTAACACAGGTGTGGGCATTCAGCTTGTGAGCCGAGGACTCTGCCTGTAGCATCAATCACTGACAGCACAGGGGACATTTAACACAGGTATTGCCATGGTGAGGGGAAGGGCTGGCCCCATCTCACACCCCAGCTGGTCTGAGGGGCCTGACACAGGGCACAAGGACACGGTGTCACTCCTCCATCCCAACCTGGCAACAGTCAGCACAGACAGAAACAGGATTCATTCTTTGATCCTGGTTGGCCAGGGAGAATTCCTTTGCTCCCCAGCACCAGGATCCCACTTTTTCACTTCAACCTTCCACTGCTTTCCACCTCTGCCCAGCTGCAGCCTCCTCTTGCAGCACTGTGTGTTACTGCACATCCCATCCCTCCCATCCTTGTCATTCTCCTTGGCTCCACATCTTCTCCTGCCACTCCCAACCCTTTGCTCCAGGGGTTTTTATGAATCCAGCTGCATCCCAACCCCTCCCTTATTGCTCCAGCTCATCACAGCAGGATGTGCTATGTGAGACCCCAGCCCTGGCTCGTACCTGTTTCCTTCCCCATCATAGACCCAGGTGGTGGAGCCCAGTCCTTCGTAGGCTGAGGCCCAGTAGTAGAGGCAGGAGTTCACATGCAGGCTGTACAGTAAGTAGGCAGTGGTGCGAATCACTCTGCAGAAAAACCCAGGAGGGAGCAGGGAGGGAGATGATGTCTGCTGGAGAAAGGTGCCAGGTTCCCCCATGGTATCAGTATTATCAGTGTGAGCCTTGAAGTGGTGACCATACAGCCCCTGCCAATGCAGGAATCACAGAGCATCCCAACCCTGCTGCTGCCTTCTGCAGCCCTGCAGCTCCAGAAGTGCCAGAAAAAGCAGTTTATCTGCTGATGGCTCTCCTTCCCTGCCAGCACCCCTGTCCCTGTGGCTTGGAGAGAGGTGATCCTACCCGTGCAGGCTTTGGGACCCTGATGTCCCATCACATCAGCCAAAGTCCATGTCAGCCAGCTCAGTCACAGCAGGGAAATAAACCAGGGATCCAGAACAAGTGCAGAATGTTTGCCCAGTGGCAAACGGCAATTCCACGCTCCCTCCTTCCCCCATGCCCCTCACCTGTAGATGTATGCCTTGGTCAGGATGGCCTCCAGGCGGTTGTTGAACTCGAAGAAGGCCATGTACTGTGAGGAGAGGGAGAGCTGCATGTTCCAGGTTCCCTGCTGGGAGAGTCACCTCCCCATAAATCCCCTCTGCCCCTCATTTCCCTCCTGCAGCCCCTCTGCAGCATGGACTGACACAGACAGATTTGTCTCCATCCGTAAGTGCCCTTCTAGTCAAACATGAGTAGTTTAGGATTGAAATGAAGTGTTTGACCAACAGCCCTGCAAAGCTTTTGGGACAAAACTTCATTTTTTAATCCTTCTGTCATCATCGATGAGTCTGACAAGCCATAGCTCACCCCAGCCAGCACAGGGCTCCTCCACATCCACTGCAGCTGCTGTTGTGATTTTGTCAGCTCTGACTCACCTTCAGACAGCGAGGGAAGCGCAGGAGGGGGTTGACACCCACTTTGAAGTAGAAGAAATCCAGGGGCATCAGGCACAGCACGTCCATCTGAAATCCACACAGGGAGAAACCTCTGTGGGGACCTGCAGGAGCACTGGGGTGGGGCTGTAACCCACAGGGCAGGTGAAAGATTCAGATGAATAAAGAAAATTTTGACAAACCTTGAAGCGCTGCGATCGCAGGTAGTTTTCTTTCATGGCCTTTTTGTCAGTCTAGTGGGGAACAGGAAGGAGAGAGAGAGAGAGAAATACTGATTATTGCTTAGAGAAAGGAAAGTAGGGCCGACATGGTCATGCCTGGCTTTCCTCCTCTGCACCACAACAGGGAAGATGCTCCCTTTGTGCCTGGAAAGGGAGAAGAGCAAGCAGAGAAGTCCTGGCTGTATGCCATCCTCCCATCCCACCTTAGGACATCCTGTGTTGATTTTGCATCCCAGGAAAAGCATATCACAGTGCCAGCACCACAGGAATCAGCATTTGCAGGGGAAACTGCCTGTCTGAGCACCTGCATGGCCATGGGAAGGCTGTACCCTCAAGGTGCGATTTTTCACAATTTGTTTAATTGAATATGGAAATGAAATCAAAGGCTTCCCTTATCTCAGGCACGTGATCTGTGTGTTCAGATTGCAATTGCTAATGCATCCTGCCTGGAGTGCTCCTGAAAATTAACCCCAGAGTTTGTTACACCCATGGCCAAGGTTGGCATAACAAGGCAGTGCCAGGGCCAGTCAATGAGCACCTCACCACAGGCAGAACCACCCCATGGAGCAGCACCCTGCAGGCACCCCTACCCAGGAACAGGGATCACAGACCACACCGTTTCTGGATAGGATGGTATTGATTTTTATAGGAAAAAATGGTGTGCTTGGCAGACAAAAAGACTGCCAGCTTATCCAGTCCGTGTCAGGAGACATGCTCGTGGTCTCTGAGAGTGGACAGAGCCCTGATGACCAAGGTGAGAGAGCTTGGAGAGCTCAGTTGAGAGGCCAGCAGCACCCTCAGGGTGATGGGGATGGGAGGTCCCCAGTGGGGGATGCAGGGCCCTGCCACTCACAATGATGTCTCCCCCCTGCACGAACTGCAGCCGGGTCTGGAAGATGAGGATGTCCAGCAGGTAAATGAGGTCACAGAGGTAGTCCACCAGCAGCCAGTAGTGGATGTTTGCTGGAGTCTGGTAGGGGAAAGCCCAGCGGACAGGGATCAGCCAGCAGTTCCAGTTCCAGGCCATGACAACGAAGAACAGCCACAGCACATACATCAGATCTGCACACAGGGAACAGCACCACATCAGCTGGGCACACATCCCTCCTCTGTGTGAGTCCTCTAGAGGGGTTCCCATCCCCTGACCTGCCCTCAGCACGACAGCAAAACCTGCAGGAAGTCTCTTGGTGACAGTGTTTAACTGCAGCTGGGCTCTAGCACAGAGTGAACACCCCTGGTCACAGAACACACCACGCTTTATCAGAAAGCTTCTTCTAACTTTGCTCATTCAGCTGTATTTGCTTTTGCTCTGCTCCCACAACTCCAGCTTCCCTGCTTTTCCTTTTCCCCTCCAGTCATGCTGAACTGGTGGCTGGCTGCCTGAGCCCAGAGGCTTCCAAAGGACTGAGGAATATGAAAGACTAAGGAAAGAGCTGGGCTTCTGTGAGATGGCCACAAGGCAGTGGAATCTTCTTTTGTGATTTTAATTTTTTGGGAGAGTATCCACACCCCAGGGAAAGCAAAAAGCCCAGTCATGCTCCTGATACCCACAGCTGGAAGTATTTAGGAAAGCTTATGCCTTGCAGAAGAATTTAAAATTCTGTGCTTTAGTGAAAACTAAGTTGCTTCTTGCTGAGTTCTCCTCCCCTCCTCACTCTCTCTCCCCCAGTCCCACCAGCTTGCCCCCAGCCCAGGCAAGAGGCTGTGCTCCATCACTCACTGGTGAGGGGGTCGATGCTCCTGGGGAATTTGTAGCTTTTCAGGCGGTCCAGCCAGGGCTGGCGCTTGAATGTGCAGCACAGCATCTCACAGTAATGGTCATCCCTCGATGGTTTGTCCCCCTCCAGCTCCCCTCCTGGGGCAGGCAGTGGTGCTGCTGCAGGTGCTGGCTTGGCGGGAGCTGGGAGAGGCCACACAGTTATTTCAAAGTGCAGAAAAATCTTCTTACTGCATTTTTTTACAGGTCTTTAAACTGTTCATAAAACAGCTGCTTCCCAGAAAACACAGCATGGATGGGGACCCACCAGGGAAACACTCCCAGCCCCAGCTGAACTCACATGTCACAGGGCTCTCATCATCTGAGGTGACATCAGAGTCAATCAGCTTCTCCTTCACCTTCTCAGTCCTCTCCTTGAAGAGCCTGACCAGCTCCTGCAGCCGGCTGTTGATGACGGCGCTGCTCAGGCTCGTGGCCGAGCCCACGCGCTCGGGCAGGCTGTGGGGACACCAGCAGGCATTTCAGAAAGGTGGGAAAGACCCTGGGCAGGTCCACGGGGTCATAGAAACCTGGAATGGTTTGGGTTAGAAGGGACCTTAAAGCTCATCTCATTCCAACCTCTCTGCCAGGGCAGGGACGCTTCCACTGGACCAGTTTGCTCCGAGCCCCATCCAACGTGGCCTGGAGCCATGACCCAGCCATGACCCATTCCTTAACCCACAGCATCTGAATTAGGATTGACCTGTGTTTATTTGGGTGGTGTGTGATGAGAAGAACACAAAGTGGCATGGCTGCCTCTCCCTTTGGGATCCTTTTGGGATCTTTGCTATTTCCACCCAAGCCCCAGGGTGTGAACCCTGGCTGATCCAGACCCCCTGAGCCCATTACACACCTTTCCTTCTGCTCCTGATGCCAGCCCAGCACTCTGCTGGGGGATTGGCTCCCCATGTCCAGTCCATCCTCTGGGAGCAGTCTCTTCCTCCTGCAGACACAAACAAAGTGACCAAGGATCAGCTCAGCTCTTCTCCCTCCTCCTCCTCCTCCTCCCAGCTGTGACCTGTTTTCTGTTCCCGTTTCTCCTGCTAGGGTCAGTTTCCCTTAATTTTTTACATTACCTGGAGCAGATGGGAGTGAACCCCCCTGCTCCTTTCCTGCTAAAGCTCTGTTTTCCCTGAGCACCAACAAGCCCTTGGCTCCATGGACATGCAGCCACCTGGCCCATTTTGCAACTCAATTTGGCAAAATGCAGGAGGGCAGGCATCATCCTGTGCTTGCCCCCAGTGCCACAGCTTCACATCACTGCACTTCAAGAGGCAGGCAAGGAAAGTGCAATGCCAGCAAAGTGGAATGCCAGCAATATCTAAAAGTTGTATCCTAACACAGCTGGGGGCTCCCTGTGGCACAGATGGGTTTCCCAGATGATTTCCTTACATCTGGGCAATAAAGGTGTCAGAAGGAAAGCTGAATATGAAGATAACAGTCCCAGCAAAAATCTAGATTGGTTTGCAAACCTGCAGCCGAGTCCGGAACTTTAGCTGTGATGAAGAAATTGTCTCTTGCCACCACAACTGCTGATCCCACTGGCCTTGGCACACAGTGGCTCAGTGCTGTGTGTGGAGCAGGGGAAAGCAGGATGCTGAGGGAGCTCATCCTGCCAGCACAACTCTCCCAAAGAAAGCCAAATGCTGTGAACCCACCACCTTCAGCCTCGCTGGCTCCCAGGTGTGTCCTGCTGGGAGGTGGAGCAGGTGAACAGGACTGATGAACCTTCATTATTCAAGAGCAAGGGTGGAGGAAAACCACAAATCCCCCTTTTAAAGTACTCTCAAATGTGGATGGAGGGGTTCCCAAAACATCAGTTTGGAGAAACAGTTGTGCCAAGGTGTTGTTGTTAGGACAACATCCATTGCCTCTCGCCAGTCTCCAGCTGCCCTGCCCGTGTCCCCTCAGGTCACACTGCCCCACTGGCCTGTCCTCAGCCCTGAGCAAGCCCAGATGCCTGCACTGACAGCCCACACACCCTCCAGTGAGCAGCCAGCTGGCATGGAAGCCAGTCACAGCCTCAGCCTTGCTCTGGTTTTGGTGCCCTTGGAATGTTGCAGCCAGAGGCCACAGGCACTAGAAGATGTGGGATGCACAGGGTCCCTGCCCATATGGCACCAGCCAGAGTATCCTGGCATTACCTGCAGGAGCTTTCCAGGCTCCAATCAGGTGTGGGGCTCATTTGCAATGAGGCTTTTTCAAAATCATGTTCACTTGAATTTTTCACAGAGCCATGTAGGAAATAACCCAAGACTGTGGCCAGTAGAGGGGATTTAGAGATAACTGAGTGACTGCTTAGTGCAGAGCTGTCTTCTTCCTCTGCAAACTCCAGCACATGAGCATTTCCCTTCTGGCTCACAATAATTTTTGTTTCTTTATGTAGGAGAGCAGGAGTTCCTTGCTTTTAAAAATACCTGGTGTTGTTTTGAGACACTCCCTGGCCAGCAGAAGGGTTGATATGCTCACATCTGTAACTGCAAATATGTTTAATCCTGTCAGTATTTTCACTGCAGGTAATTTACATTAAGCCTTGGGCTCTGCTGTCCCAGTATAAATAGCTGTTCAACAGACTGGACTGGGGACATTTTTGTCATTTTTGTTATTTTTTTTCTCTGTAGGAGCTTGTTTACTAAAAGATCCAAACTATTAAGTGAGAATGACTACAGCACCTGGTTTTCAGCACAGAAAAAAATCCCACTTTAGCTTTCGTTTCGAATCCTGTGCAAGAGTGAGCCTCAAAAAACCCTAGTGCCACAACATAAATAAATCCATCAGCTTCCTCCAGCCTAAATTTTAAAGCTCAGTTTTAATCCTCCCTCTCTCTAAGCATAGAATCACTGAATGATCTGAGTTGGAAGGGACCTGAAAAGATCATTTAGTCCAGCTCCTGCCATGGGCAAGGACACCTTCCAACTAGACCAGCTAGCTCCAAGCCCCGTCCAACCTGGCCTTGAACTTTGAGAGATGGGGCTTCCACCACTCCTCTGAGAGCCCAAACCCTTGTAGCAAAAATACAAGAAGAAACTTGTTTATTTTTTAGATGAAGGCTCTTATCCAGCACATAGACCCTCTGTGCTCTGAATGTGGGAGCACAGACAGGTGGACAACAGAGAAATGGGATTTGACCATGGCCTGGGGATCAAGCTCATCTCCAGGAGGACACACAGACAGGGCTATCCCTGGGCACAAAAGCTTTAAACAAAATGTGACCATTTAATTAAAAAACGCCAACAAGAGGCAAGGCTTTCGCCATCTCCTCTGCTGGGGGATGAACCCCCAGCACACACATCCCTGCCCAGATCTGCTGGCAGTGAGTGTGGCTGTGCAGAAGTTGCTGTGTGGCAGCTCAGCACCGTGCCTGGGCAGAGCCATACCTGGGGGATGCTGCACCGGGCACGGCCAGCAGGTTGGGAGCAGCAGGCACCAGCACAGGGCTACCGTGGATCTCCACAGCACTGTCCACATCCTTGATCTCCACCGTGGGGCAATTACCTGCTCCGTGGGGAAGGACAATAATGGCAGGTGAGGGCGTGCAGGGCCCCTCCTGCAGCCAGGGTGGCTCCCCAGAGCTGCCCCCAGGCCCTGCAGTGCATGGGCAGGACTCTCCTTCTCCCTCCTCTCCCTTCTTGCCTGGCTCTCCTTTCTCCTAAGCATTTGGAGCACTTCTTCGTCTTTTCTTTTTGCCCAGTTTTTAACGCTCTAAGAACTGCCATCTGCTCCCCTTCTGCTTGCCCAGCTTGCAGTGATTGCAGCTACTCCATCTGAGTGTTGGGCTCCCCGTGGCTTGGAAAATAATGGAGATTAGGATTCCCAGCTGCAGGTGACATGCAGGAACCCAGGATTTCCAGGAGCAAACCTGCCTCCCAGGGGGTAGAGATTCTCCTGGTTCTTCTGAATGTAAACATATGGATTGTGACACTCTGAACCACACAGTGTTTGCTTTTCATGCAGAATAAGGCACTATTTAAATAAACATTTATGGTTTCTTTCTTCTGCAGAGGTAATAACTGCTTCCTGCCACAGACAAGGTTAGAAGCAGGAAGGCTGGATGTTTATAGTGGGTAAAGAAAGATGCCAGTTGTCCAAAGGAGAAATGACACTGGGGGCTACCTTGGCCAGACCCCATAGTCATTTGGCTGTGAAGTCTGATGTCTTTTCTTAGCTATTCAACAAAATACAGTGAATTCCTGCACGATTTCTTCTATGGGAGGTTTTCACACATCTGAAAAGCCCCGTGCACCTCCTGCTTCACACTGATGTGAATCAGTGGATCAGAGTGTGACTTGATTAAAAGCCTGAGAAAAGGCCTGTTTGGGTTGCAAAGTTAAAATCCTGTTGCATGTAAGGAAAAGCAGCAGAATTCAGCTTGCTGGTTAAAAACAAAGCAAAGCAAAGCTGCAGAAAAGGCAGAAAGCCATGAACAGCAAATGTCCACCTTCCTCTCCTCTTAGTATGAGCAGGTTGTGCAAATGCTGGAGAGAACCGTGTGTGGTGATATTGCACCCTCTGCCTGCAGGTCCTTCAGGAGAGCTTTCCTGAGCAGCTCTAAACACACAGCATTTGCAAACACTCTGTAGACTTAGCTAAAAAGGCACATGTGATGAGCAGAAGCAGATAAACACGTGGATTTCGTTCCCCAGCCTCTGTGCTGCAACATGAAGCATGCTTTTATTTTTTTAATTCTTTCCCCCCTGCAGGAAGCAACAAAAAAAGCAACTACTCCAGGAATCATCCCCCTCTACACAAGGCCATGGTCAAAGCCAACATCTCTAATACCTAGTGGGGATTGCTCCTCAGTGCAAAAATTGGGGTTGACAACTCCAGCCTTGGGCGTGCTGGTGACAAGGACGGGGGTGCAGGTGGCAGCTCTGTAGCTGGGGACATTGGGGAGCTGCTCTAGAGCCCCGTGGCCGGGAGGGGAGGGGTCCCTGCCAGCCAGGGGCTTGTCATGCACCAGCTGGTCCAGCTCGACGTCCCAGGCCCGCCTGGCCATGCTGCTAGGAGCCTGCTAGGAGCTTCAAGCAAAGGGCAAGGCGTCAGAAGCTGCAATAAAACACAGAGTGGTTTGAGACAGGAGCGCTGTGTCACGGCAGAGATGCGGGGTTTGGGGCTGCTCGCACCTGTGGGCATCCTACCATGTGTTCTTCATGGCATCATGGAAGGTTAAGGGTCGGAAAGGACCTTAAAGATCACGTCCCATGGGCAGGGACATCTCCCACTACTCCTACTCCAGGTTGCTCAAAACCTTGAGCATTGCCTTGAGCAGTGGGAGATGTCAAACCTGGCCTTAAACACTTCCAAGGTTGGGGCATCCACAACCTCCCTGGGCAGCATGTTCCAGTATCTCACCACCCTCACTGTGAAGAATTTCTTCCTAAAAATCTAACTGAAATTCCCTCTCTTTCAATTTGTACCCATTACTCCTTGTTCTATCACTACAGTTCCTGACAAATCAGCATTTTCTAGCATCATTGCCCCTCTGCAATGGGGTGAGGGCAAGCCATTCCCTGTGCAACTTCCTGATGTCAGTGGAGTTCTGCCAGGATGTGCCTTTGTTCAGTCAGACTGCAATGGGAACTCACCACCTAATTTTCATTACCAACAATTGTTTCCTAAAACATTATATTAAAATGTGTTTTATGCCACTGGTTATTTCCCAAATGGAGAAAGATGATATAGACAATACTTTTAATCCCTGCACATTCTCCATCTGGAGGAGAAACTCTTATTTCACATCAGGGATTGCTTAATCAACAGGACTAAGCATTGTACATTCAGAGCCAGCTCCAGACAATGCCAATATTGCCATGGTGCTGTGCCCACAGGATGTTTTACCCCAGTGAAAAGTCCTGACTGCCCCTGCAGGCTCATGTGCAGAGAAGTCAGCTGCCTGCTCCCTGACAGCAGGAAAGGAGAAGCCCAATTGTCCCCCCACCAGGCACTGCATCCCCTGCTTCACTTCATCCCAGTTTGGCATCATACTGCTACAGGTTGTACCTTCAGCATCAGTTTCAGCAGCTTCAGCTGTCTCCTCTTCCACCTTCAAAATGAAAAAAAAAGCCATTTTAAGGAGAAAAAGCCCATTCTGTCAGTAAAAAGCAGATTTTGCAGATTGACTGGCTGCCCCATATCCCTCCTACTCACCAGACTCTCAGCTTGTTGTTCAATGCCCACTTTGATGGGTGAAAGGAGCCATCCATCATCCATCCATCCATCCAGCCATTCATCCATCCATCCATCCATCCATCCATCATCCATCCATCCATCCATCCATCCATCCATCATCCATCCATCCATCCATCCATCCATCCATCCATCCATCATCCATCCATCCATTCATCCATGCATCCATGCATCCATGCATCCATGCATCCATGCATCCATCCATCCATCCATCCATCCATCCATCCATCCATCCATCCATCCATCCATCCATCCATCCACAACTATTTCTGCTGCCCCAGCTTCAGGGATGGGAAACATGTCCAGGGCCCAGCCCAGTCTGCTCCTCCCAGGGCTCTGCATCCCCTTGGAGAAGCTCTGAGCCCCCAGCACCTGCAGGGCAGCAAGAGCTCATTGCAGGAGCCCAAGCAGGGAGTGATGCTGTACCTGCACAGGAGCACCTTCCAGATTACTTATCTCAACCTCTTCCAGCTGCTCAACCCTGAGGGTCTCCTCAACAAGGTAGGCTTCATCCACGCCCTTATCAGCAGGGGGACAAGGCAGCTGCAGCAGGGGTCTGGAAGGGAGAGAAAAAAATACTGCCTGGGAGACCAGGTGAGAGGCACATAAATAAAACAGGGCATTGCACGTGGATAAGCAAAAATTGCAGAGGCAGACTGATCCAGGCACAATGTTTCTCCTCCTGTGCATAATCATTTCTCATATAATTAAAACGGGACAAATAAAAAGCCAAAACCTAATTTCCAGGCAAGGCTTTCCCACAAGCACTATTCAAATCCCACATTTGCCTGTGCAAGACACCTCCAGGACTCATAATTCTCATTTTCCTTCAGCAGCAAGCACAGACCTCAGCTCCACCATTCTGACAAGGGGGCTCTCAAGATTGATTTTATTGCTTTAATTTAACTTCATAACTGAAATAAAAGCACCTCAAATGTTGCTCTGTGCATTTATCTCTTGATTTATTTTTTCCTAGCAAGAAATGCAAAGCAGAGATTTGGGATAATGAGAAGAATTTTAAGACAACTAAATGCACGAAAATATTTGTTTTGTTATTTTTAATAATTTTCCCCAAAAATATTTAAAATTATGCTCCTTTCAAATGTGATCACAGATCTTTCCATCCTGAACTAGAAAACCTCTTGGTCTCTCCCTCATTTCCCAGTAAACAAGCACACTGAAGGAGGGGCCAGCATCTCATTCACCCCACAACTGAAGCTCAAGTTTCTACAGTGAAGCTCCAGGAACAGATTTTGATGACATACAAACATATGGGTTTGACACTGAGTAATCCAGTGTTTTCAGATTCTTCCTGAAAATCTAGCTACTTTAGAGGAATTAACACAGAATAATATTGTAGTACTAGGTAATAAATCCTTAAATGTTTATCTCATGTGAAACCAGAGCAAACTACTAATCTACTAATCTGAGCAGAAAAATGTCTCCCAATACCATCTAGACCAAAGTCACCACCTTCCACAGCTAACAAGAACTCGCCTATTTTCTACAACAGGAAAAAAATGTAAAATTGTACCTACTTGCATGAAGCAGCAATTGCAGACACAACACATAATCCTGTCTTTACATTCAGCTCTGTAATACTCAAAACAATCCCGAGTGCCCTGAATTAATGGACATTTAAATAGCACGGAGCATCTCCCGAAGCTGCTGCTCCCGCCTCCCGTGAAGGCGCAGGAGGGGCTGCGGTGCCGCGGGCGGAGATGGAGCCCGTGTCACCAGGAGACACTCGCCTGTCACCGGGAGACACTCGCCTGTCACCAGGGGCCGCGTCAGCAGCGAGCTCTGGGCTGAGCCGGTTTGCCAGAGCATCTCTCCTGCATCCCATCCCTCCTGCATCCCATCCCTCCTGCATCCCATCTCTCCTGCATCCCATCCCTCCTGCATCCCATCCCTCCTGCATCCCATCTTTCCCCAGCCGCCTGCCAGGCTGGGAGTTCTGCTCTGCCGTGGGTGTTTCACCCTCTCCAGCTGCTGAACGCAGTTCAAACAAAAGCTGCAATCACGCCGGTTTCCAACAAAGCCATAAAGGCAACAGGAGCCACTCACTCTGCACTCTCCTCCTGCTCCTCCTCTTTCTTCTCTTCCTCTTTCCTCTTTTCCTCCTGCTCCTCCTCTTTCTTATCTTCCTCTTTCTTCTTCTCCTCTTTTTTCCTCTCCTTCTCTTTCTTCTTCTTCTCCTCCTTCTTCCTCTTCTCCTCTTTCTTCCTTGCCTCCTCCTTCCTCTCCTCTTCTTCTTTCTTCCTGTCCTCCTCTATTTTTCTTTCCTCTTCCTTTTCTTTCCTCTCCTCCTCCCCTTTCTTCCTCTCCTCTTCCTCCTCTTCTTTCCTGCCCTCTTCCTCTTTTTTACTGTCCTCCTCTTCCTCTTGCTTCCTCTCCTCTTCTTCCTTTTTCCTGTCCTCCTCTTCCTTTTTTATCCTCTCCTCCTCCTCTTTTATCCTCTCCTCTTCCTTCTTTTTCCTGTCCTCCTCCTCTTGCTTCATCTCCTCCTCCTCTTTTATCCTCTTCTTCTCTTTTTTCCTCTCCTCTTCCTCTTTTTTCCTGTGCTCTTCTTCTTGCTTCATTTCCTCCTCCTCTTTCTTCCTCTCCTCTTCCTCCTTTTTCCTGTGCTCCTCCTCTTGCTTCATTTCCTCCTCCTCTTTCTTCCTCTCCTCTTCCTCTTTTTTCCTGTGCTCCTCCTCTTGCTTCATTTCCTCCTCCTCTTTCTTCCTCTCCTCTTCCTCTTTCTTCTTATCTTCCTCCTCCTCTTCTTTCTTCTCCTCCTCCTTACCCTCCTCCTCTTTTTCCTCTTCCCCCTTGGTAGTGTTTGGGGAGCACAAGCATAGTCTGGAAAGGAGAAAGTCATCGGGTAAAATCCACAAAGGACGTGTGAGCCTCACAGGAGGAGCTTTTGGAAACATTCACCTCAGCTCCACTTGCAAAGAGGGATGCCCAGGGACAGGCTTGTCCCCTGCCATGGCCACCACAGTGGTGACTGGAGAACACAGACCTGCCCATCAACAGCATCTCCCTTCCCCTACCTGTTTTCTTCTTCCTGCGGTTCCTCCTGTATGGTGGGAAGGGAATGAGCCTCCAGCTCAGCCTTGTGAGCCCAGGCTGTCATCTCTTCAATAATCTGGTCATCATCGATCTCTTTCAGGATGGGATGGGTTTCCTCCTGCTCTTCAGGAGCTACATGAACTGAAACAGGAATGGGGAAAGGAGGTGATGGAGTGACAGTAGCACATTCTCCAGAATGTGGGGCCAGGGCAGATCCCAGGATTCCTCTGCTCTCAGCCTGCACACAGAGCTGGGCAGCCCTGCTGCCCCTGAGCTGTGCTGCACAGATGCCTTGGGTCCCTTTGCCAGAGGGAAGAAGAAAATTCACCATTTTGTGCCAAGCACAGCCAAAACCCCTCGAGCAAGGCCTCGAGCAACCTGGTCTAGTGGAAAATGTCCCTGCCCATTGCAGGGGGGTTGGAGCTGGTTTAGCTTTAAGGGCCCTTCCAGCCCAAACCATTCTGTGATTCTATGAAAGCTATAATCCTCTGCACACAGATGAGTGCTGCCTTCCCAGCACACGTAGCCACCTCCACCAGCAGTGCCCTAGCCCATCTCCTGGTCACTTTTGTCTCTCCTTGCAATCTGGAAGAGCCCAAAGCCTTTCCCCTTGTGAACCACAGTGAATTGCTGTCCTAGCACTGCTCAAGGGCCCTGGGTCTGCAAGACCCAACCCAGAGCCCACACCACAACACTCAAGCACCATGTCCTGTCCACTCCGAACATTCTCCCAGGCAAGGAACATCCCACACCCCTTGTCAGCATCACTTCCCAGCATCACTGGGGCAAAACCCACAGCAGGTAACTGGGGGCTGTGGGCCAGCTGCAGAGTGAGGAGTGTGACCCATGATGAGCCCTCTCTGTGTCCCAGGGGTACCCATCCTAGCACACCAGAGAAACAGGAGCAGGAAGCACATCCGCTTACTGTAAAACCAGTTTATTTTGAGGTCTGCCTGACAGCAAAACTTACATGTCCACAGCAAAGCTAATAGGAAATGTGCAGATTGAACTACAGAAAGGCAGGAAACCCATGCAGTGTCGTATCTGTGGCTTATTTATCCACCCCACAGTGTCCACAACGCCTTTAGCCCATTCCCTCTGGATCTCCATTAGTTATAACATGGGACAGCAATCAGGGAAATGGCTTTTAAAGCACACCATGAATTTTGGATACGTTATATGAAAATGAGGTAAATACTAAAACTGTGTCCTGGTACAAGCAAGATTCATTATAAACAGAGGGGATGAATCTCAGGGTGGTCTCTTGGCTCACAACTCATTGTTACAGCTGCCTGCATGGTCCTAAAGAGATGCAACAGTAGGAGATCTTAACCTGGCCTGTCAATACACCAGGGGGCTTATTCAAAATATGGAAAAAGACTTTTTATCAAGGCCTGTAAGGACAAGGGCATTAGTTTTAAACTGAAAGAAGGGACATTCATATTGGACATAAGGAAGGAACTTATACTGTGTATATGTATACTGTTGTACTGTGGCTGCCTCATCCCTGGAAGTGTTCAAGGCCAGGTTGGATGGGGCCTGGAGCAACCTCATCTAAAGGAGAGTGTCCCTGCTCAGGACTGGGAAGTTGGACCAGATCATCTTCAAAGGTCCCTCACAACCCAAACCAGTCTGCTATTCCAAGGTCTGTATCCAAACCCTGGGGTGTAGGGTCTCCCACCCCCCCGAGCCCAGAGTGCCTGCACTGGCCATGCCTGCCTGCAACCTCTGGGCTGGAGACAGAGCCCTGGAATCCCCTTCCTGATGGGACATTCCTGCTGCTGCAGTTAGTGCTGCATCCATGGAGCTGTGAGCTTCAGGAGGGAGCAGCCGTAGTTGGGGGTAAGGACAGTTTGGGGTAAGTTCTCTTTGAAGAAGGGCCTGGACAAATATGTTTAACCATTAACTCCTACGTATTCACCTAGAGATTAACCTCACCCACCTGATTTGCTGCTGCAAATCAGAGCCCTTTCCACTTGCTGGGAGGAAAAAGTTATGGAAGAAAAGTAAAAAGCAGCTGACAAGAGCTTCGGGACGTTTTTATAACATTACATCTCAGAGGCAGAAGTTGACTCAAAGAAGCCAGATGGAGGTCTTGGGGTAAATATTCAGAAGTTGTGGGGGCATTGAGAGGGCCAGGAGTGCTGGGAGACTGCAGCAAGAGGCTGTCTGCCACCGAGGTGTCCTGAGTGATGCTTTTCTACCATCCTGTAAATTATAGCTCCCATCTCATAGACATCATCTGCAAAAACTGTAGCTCCAATTCCCAGAGCCAAGAGGGAGCCAAGAGGGACAGCACTGGGACTGGGTCCCTGTGCCAGCCTTGGGTCCCCACTGCCCCAGCTGGGAAGGAGCTAGAGACCATTTGCAGATTCCCCTTTGCTTTTCCTCCCCAGCTGTGCTTTCTCCTCAGGCTGGTCTCATTTGGGTTTGGGAAGGGCTGCTCTGCCATGGTCTTCGTTTTCCGTTTGTTTCAGAGGCGCTAAGCCCCTTTGCCCCCTGAAACAAAAGGAGAAGGAAAACATTAATGAGCTTGATGGCAGCTTGGTGCCAGGGCAGATCTCTTGCTTGACCCAATCATTCCCTTCTTGGGCAGGTTAAGCGACCTGGAGAGGCCTCAAGGCACCAAAGCCAGCTGGGCACCAAGGCTGTGCTCACCCAGCAGCATCCCTGGCTTTGCCTCTTTCCAAGGTCCATGGCAGCACACCAGTTTGTACAAACACATGGAGAAATGCCTTCCCCCAGGAATTCTCTCTCTGAGGTTCTGCCAAGGGGCTGTTGGCCTGCTGGATATCCCCAGCATATCCCTGGGGGTGTGCATTTCCCACGTGCCTCAACAGGTCCCTGCTCCCATCAGTAGCTCCCACAGCCCAAACAGCCACTCCTTTCAAGGGACAATTCTTGCACAGGGGTGTGTAACCCTGCCCACACTATCCACAGAGGCAGCTGTGGCTCTGCATTTTGTTCAGCATCCCCCAAAGTGGCTGGTGTGGGGAGCCAAGCCCCCCTGCCTGCAGAGCTTGATCCCCTCCACAGGCACACAGCAGTGTGAACCCTGAAGGTTTTCCCACAACCATGCAGATTCCATTCTAAGACATCTAATCCTAGCATTTTGTTTTCCTGGGGTACCTTCTTAGACATCTCACACTAGGCTTGACAAGCACCAAAGAGTGAAAAAAGCAGCAGGTTTGAATTGCATTGCAATTCTTTGATCAAATCCCTCCAGCTCCAGCACAGCTCAGGACACACCTTGACATCAGCATAAAACCCAGGACCTGAGGATGGGGGATGCTGCACTTGGAGACTCCCTCAGCCTGAGTTTTACCAAGCCCACGCCACAGCTGTGCAACAGCTCCCTCATCTCAAGTGTCAACAACCTCCCATGGCTTTCCTGGGGAATTCCAGGGGCTCCTGAGCTGGCACCCAGGGCAGAGCAGGGGATAAAAGATGCCAGTGATCCCTCTTCCCAGTAACCCAAGCCAATAATGAGCTTGGCAGTCAAACCATCATGAGGAAATGGAGCCATCACTTACTCTGTTCCACAGGAGTTGAGGTTGCTGTGGCCACTCCCTGTCAAGAGGTGAAGGGAACCGTGAGACATTGCTCATTTTCAGTAAGCCTTAATTTTTACCCTCAACGCTCCATTTTCAGTAAAGGTGGTCCTTTTACCCTAAATACCCGATTTTTGTGGCAGGTTGGATGGCTTGGCCATGGGCACAGGCATCCCCACACTCAATGGAACAGGACACTCATGTAAGTGAGTTTGCCTGGGGGGCAGGCAAGAAAAGGAGAGCTGTGAAAAGCTGCTGCTGCTTCTCCTTAGAGCTGGAACCACACCTGTATGGGATGCCAGAGCCTGGCCACCAGCCAGTGCTGCACAGAAAGGCAAGGAAACAGTAAAGAAAGCACATGCTATGGGATCTCCTGCTGCTTAGAAGCCAAACACTGGCTTTCATCAGCTAAGCAGGTCATGGGGACTTGTTCCCTTGACAGAACTTGGTGACACCCAAACCACAGCAGGTCCCAGCACTGATCTAGTGGCATGGCAGGGGATGCCCTGCTCATCAGGGATGTGGTGCTCCCTTGCTCTGTCCCTGTCCATCAGACAGCATACCTGTGTGTCCTGCTTCTCCCTGGTCACCGGCTGTGGCATCACCTTCTCCAGCCCCTGGACAAACCAGCTGAACATCCTGGAGACAAAGAACCGCTGCTAGAACCGGCAGCCAGAGCCTTTGCCCCGCACCAGCCGTCCCTCTGGCCACCAGAGCCCGGCAGAAGGTGTCACTGTGGTTACCTGGCGCTGTCCCCAGCCAGGGACCGAGGGCTCAGGGCGGTCACCGCCTCCGGCTGCCCCTTCTCTGCCGCTGGGGCGCTCTGTGGGGCTGAAGAGCTGGATTTTGGCTTCTCCTGGGTTTTAGTCTCTTTTGTGCCTGCTCAGGTTTATTCGAAAGAAGAAGGAGGATAAGCAATGGAGCAGTAATAAATTGTTGGGAGGTGGAGCAAGCCGGGAAGGGTCACTCCAGCAGAGGGACAGGACTCGGGGGCTGCCCTGGCAGCCTGCCTGGGACCAGGACAGCTTGGGGACACAAGCAGTGTAGGGGCTGTGCCGTGATAGTGGGACCTGTGTCCCCACCCCTGGGACCTGTGTCCGCACCCCTCCCTCCAGTGGGAATCCTGGCCATGGAGACGAGGGCAGTCCCAGCCCAGCCGGGCTCACGCAGGGCTCGGGGATGGGATCGCTCACCTTCCACCGCGCCTTCGCTCTTCTCCTTCGGCTCTGTCTGCGGAGGGACAGAGGGACAGAGGGACGGGTGGAAGTGGCCTCAGGCCACCCCAGGTTGACATGCCCCCACCGCAAAGGACCCACATGCTCAGCCCCACACACCACCCGCTGTGGTTCCAGCCCATTGCCCTCACAACAACCCTTCAACCCGGACAGCAGCGCTGCTGACACCAGCGGGTCAGCCTCAGATGAAGGGTCCTCCCTGCATCAGGGTTGAGGAACACCGGGACAGCACCCAGAGGTCTCTTTTTGCTCTGCTGAATTCCCTTGGGGTTTTCCTCCCCAAGGTCCCAGCTGGGGTGTGCAGGAGGATGAAGGCGAGGAGCTCGCCCCAATCTCATCTCCACACGGTAGCCCCCAGTCTTCCCGAGCTGGGCAGAGCTCACCTCCGGCTTTTTCACCCCCTCTGGTTGCGGTAAAATCCTCTCGAAGCCCTGTGACAGCCAGCTGAGCACCCGCTGTCCTGCCCTGCGGGGAGAGCGCCGTGCTGGGGAAGCTCATCCCGAGCCTCTGCCCTCCCGCATCCCCCGAGCCTCGCTGGGCACCCACCACTGCTCCGGGGCGGTCTCCGGCTCGTCCTCGGAGACATCCTCCTCGGGATCGAAGGGAGTTATCTCTGCAAGGACAGCACTGCTGTGGGCATGGGGAATCTGCACTGCTGGGAGCTTCAGGGCCCCCCATCAGCCGGGGGACAATAGTGCCGGCATCACCAGTCGGGGAGGGGGGATGTGGCGGTTCCAGGATGCTGCAAACTACAAACTCCCAGCTCTCCTTACCCAGACCATCGTCGTCCTCATCCCCAAGGACCTGGACCTCTGTCTGAAAAGCCAAACATATTGTCTGAAAACCCGACAGCCCAAGAGAGGCATCATCCCACTGAGTGGGGAGGGAAGCCTGCCCTTTCCCCAGGGATGGATGAAGGCAGAAACCCATGCAGGGCAGGTTTAGTGCTCCCAGTTAGCACTGGGGGAGTGATAAGAAGGAAAAAAGAAGAAAAGGTAAAAAGAGGTAGAGGGTCAAATACACCAAACCATTTCCCAGATCTGTCTCCTACCTCATCAGCAATGTCGATGCTTGTCTCGAAGCTCTTCCCGAGTGCCTGCAGCCCTGGGGCTGGGGCTGGCTGGGGAATCACCTTCTCCAGCCCGTAGGAGAGCCAGGAGAGCACACTACTCCCCACACTGCCAGGGAAGGGTGCGAGTCAAGTTGGGAATGCCATCCAAGGCATCCAGCCCCCAAGAAAAAGCAAAATCCCAGGCAAATCATGTTGCAGGAAGGGTGCAGGAGCCATACCTGTCGAACACAGAACCTGAGTCCTCAGAGACCACAAAGGTCACTTTCTTTTCCGTTTCTTCAATGGCAGCAGGGGAAAATAAGGCAAGTTCCTGTCACCACTCTGGCAGCCCCCATGAGGCCAGGCAGGAGTGGGACAGGTGGGTAAAGGAACACTGATGTGATGGGCTTACCCTCAGTGCGTGCCCGGTCAGCAGCATCTGTGGGGCCACCAGCCTTTCCTGTTGGTACCTTCAGAGCAAAAGGCAGAAGGTGTCAGAGAATGAGGCACAGGGGACACTGTCCCTGTTCAAAGGTGGCTTCAAACCCCAGGGATTCCCCATCCTCCTGCTGCTTCCCAGCAGCTTGGAGTAGGAATACATCCTGGCCCCCATCCCTCCTGGGGATGCTGTGGAGCATCCCTGGGTGCTGCAGTGTCTGGGATGGATGCAGAGGCACCAGGCACCTCTCATCATACTCATGGTGTCCCCATCACGCCCCAAGCTGGCTCCCTGCTCACCTTGGCTGGCTCCAGCTCCTGCACAGGGGTCTCCTCTGTCACATGGGGCGCCGGGGGCTGGGGCACCACCCGGTCAATCCAGCCCATCATCCCGCTGGCTGCGGGCAGTGCCCAGGGGTCTCCAGCCGGCAAGAGCTCAGCAGCAGGGGTGCACACTGCCCAGGGAATACCAGCTGTTCACACTGTCTCCTGAGCAGCCCCAAAAAGGTCCTTGGTGTCCTTCTGTTTCCGTGTCCTGCTTGGGAAACATGGCACTGCAGCACAGGCAGAGCAAACCCGGCTCAGCTCCTCATCCCTCACCGCTATTGTAAGCAAACAGAACGCTCTGTTTTATTCTCACCATCTCAGTTAAACTTGCTCCTCAGTTAGATGTTTTATTTTCACAACCTGTCCTGACTAGGAAGCCATTGCAGATAGATCACAGAAGATGATGAAGGTGATGCTCTGCTCAGGGTCATCTACTCTCCCCATAATTTTTCATTTGAGGGAAGTTGAACAGTAATTTAAACAGAATTTTTTTATGAGGACGTTCATGTCCCAACACACACATCCCCTCTTTCTGCCCCTACAAAACAACTCTGCTCTACTGCCTTTCAGCCACACCCCAGGGACATGGTGGCTGCTGGGGCAGGTACCTGCTGGGGGCTCTGGCAAGGGCAGCAAAGGCGTCCAGCAATGGCTGCTGTGCTGTTGATAGGGTAGGTAAAAGTAAGATATTGCAGAGCAGGGATTCAGCTGTCCAAGCTCTGGCTGCTTGGCCTTTTTGGGTCCCTTCCTTCCCTTTGTGAAGCAGCTCCAGGCTGGGATATGAAACCACTGAGGCAAGTGATGCTGCACATTCCCATTCTTAGGTACTGAACAAGAGCTGGGGTCTCTCATCCAGCTCAAACTAGGGGTGTCACTTGCTGTTACCCCTCTGAAGGGCTGTGCTCTGCCCAAAATGCCCCTCTAAAGATACCCCACTCTGCTCAATGAAGGGCTCAGGAGCATCTCAGACAGCCCCCAGGTGATACCTCTGAAGGGCAAAAGAAAGCAGATCCCTGAGCTCCTTCCAGCCCAGCCAAGAGACTGCAGAGGAGTTTCTATTCCAGTTGCACAAATGATCCCAGTCCCACATGCAGGACGTAGAGGCTGGAAGCTGCTCAACACTGGGCTCTTTGAATTAACCCCTCATGCAGCTTTCAGGCACGCAGGACATCTGCAGTTCCCTTGAGATGGCTCACTGGGAGCTCTCCAAAGCCTGGGTCCTTAAATCTAGGCTGGGATTTGCAGGAAGGGTGATGTGTGTCCTCAGTCCTTTGCTTGCCTGCACCTTGGCAAGGCCAGGAGCCAGATTTGGGTGTAGCCAAAGCATTGCTCCATGCAGCACTTCCAGTCCCCACACACCATGGGCAGGGCCAGCTTCCCCAGAGACCCCCACATCCCACAGCTGGACAGAGGGGCTGTAAAACACCTCCTGACAGGCCTGACACCCAGAAACCAATTAAATTACCTTGTATCTCTCACTGGGTATAAGGGATTAAGGAGCTGCAAATGTCCTGGGAACAGCAAGGAAAAGCTGCCAGTGCTGTGCAGCAGAGGCATTTCCACCCATGCTTTGGCAGTCTCACAGGTCCCAAAGCAGCCCAGGGTTCACGTACACAGCTGAGCCCAAACAATCCTGGAGAAAGCCCCCTGAGGCTGCAGCGAGCCCCTCTTGTCATCAAAGGGCTTCCCCTCTCTCTAGATGAGCTGGTGCAGCTGTAAAAGCCTGGACCATATGCCTGTTCTTGGTCTGGGAAAGAAAGTGGAGGGCAGAGGCTGTTCCTCTGCAAAATCTGAACAAGAAATGGGCAGAAACATTTGTGGGTCCCCACAAAACTAGCTGCTGAAAGAAATAGGAATAGGTAGCCAGGATTTGCCTTCAATGACATGAAAGAGCTGGCAGGGTTATGCATCCTGCTGCATTGCAGGCACCCAGCAATGTCACCACCTGTCGTGGCAGTTCCTTTTGCCAGCCCGTAAAATCCCATTCCTAAGAGCAAGAAGGGCACAGCCCACAGCCTCACGGAGCAGGGACCACCGTGACCTTTCCTTCCACCCCAGCAGCTGATTAAACCTCCACGTTACCCATCCCTCACAGCATCACTCCCCACGGACCGGCATAGCTCATCCTCCAACTGTTTCGGATCACCAAACCCCCCAGAGATGGGCAGAGGTGGCCCTGCAAAAATCCCAGCACCATCCCTCGCCTCCATCGCTGCCACTTACCCCTGCAGGCTCACCACTGCCTCCCTGGGAAGCCACCCTTGGGATGCATGGGCTCCCTTGGCCACTGCAGCTTGTCACTGACCCCCCCCAAACCCACCTCAATCCGCTCAGGGCTCTGTGAGGATTAGCCCTGTGCTGCCTGCAAATGGGATTACTGGCATCCCGCTGTCCTGAGTGCCCAGGCTTCCAGCAGCCAGCCTGGCTGTGGTGCAGGGTGCTGGGGGGAAAAAAAATCAAAATCAAGCAGGTTTGAGCACGCTCAAAACCCCTGGAGCCACCACAGCTGCCACAGGCACTCACCAGCAGCGCTGTGGGGAAGGCAGTCGTCTCATCCATGTGCAGGTGGGTGCAGGGACGTGCAGAGGACCAGCACTGGAGCTGCTGAAACCCCGTGGGGTGACACAAGGTGATGTGCCAAGGGTGCTCCACCCACAGCTCTGCCCCAGTTCCGGAGCAAGGAGAGCAAATCTGTGCTGGGTTGAGCTAAGCCTTCCCTTGCTGAGCCTGCCAATTGTTGCTTGATCCATTTACCTCCAGCCCTGCACAACGCCCAGCCTTTCCCACTGCCCCTAATCTTGGCTGCAGTGACACTCTGGAATCCAGGTACCAGCATGGCTTCTCTGCTCCATGTCCAGATTGCTTCTGTATTCCACAGCTCCCTGGAGCAGCGCTGGAACTCCTTGAGGTGATTCCTCCTTCCCTGGCTCCATGGGTGTCTCCATCCTGGTGGGCAACTAGTACCCATCCTGCCTGGCCTCTGTAGCAGGCTCCTCTCTTGCTATCACAGGATAGGGGGATGCAAAACAAACCCTCAGGAAAAGCTTGAACAGTTGCATGTGAGGCTGGGATCCCCAGAGCACAGCATGCAGCAGCTTCTGCCCCCTGAATAGCTGCTCCTTTCTGGCAGGAAGAGACGCCTGCCTGCTCCTGCCCTGAAGCTCCCAGGGAGGAGTTTTGCCCGGGAGAGAGACCATTCCAATTCTAGCAAGGGGCAAAACCATTCAGCATCCTCTGCTTGTGTTTGCTTTTGGCCCCTGGGAGCTTGCTCATACCCTGCATCTTCTGGTTACCAGGAAGATGAACCACCAATTCTACTTCAAAAAAGGGGAAAGAAAGAAAACAAGAAAAAAAACCCCAAGCAGAGCCAGACAGAGCACAAAGACAGATGAGGAGGCAGTGCTTGGCACATGGCCTCTGCTCCAGAAATTTTACACACCCACAGGAAGGTATAAATAACTATAAATTTATTAGTAAAGCAAAACCATTTGACACTCACACAGAAGAGCGGGATGTGTTATTACAATATATATACACACATACATGGAGTATCATCTTAGAAACACATGGAGAGCAGTGTTAAAGGCACTGCAAGCCACACAGACCTCGGCAACCTTGGCTGCGACTTCGACAGCCCTGGGAACTCTACCGGAGTCACAACCACAGGTTGGGAGGTGCTCAGGAATCTCACTGACCATGAAGTCCCTCAGATCCACGGCTTGGAGGCACTCAGAAACAAGCCCACGGTCCAGCTTCCACCTGTGGTCCTGCTCTCCCCACTGAGCATCCCAGGCACGCTGTGAGAGCAGCATCTTCACATCCAGAAAGTGTCAGAGACAGCTGCCAGGAGATGCTGTGGAGAAGCTGGGTGCTCACCGGGCCTGGGAGGAGCTGCCAGCCCCAAACCTCACTGGCCTGCCCTTATTGAATCTCAGCATTTCACCTGCATGCACAGGAACCTTCCCACAGGAACTCAGCACACAATGGAGAAAGAGTCAAGTTCTGAAGTATAACAAGAGAGTTTTGCCTAGTTTTAATGGCCAAGCTTCAGTTGCAGCCTGGACTTGATGGTAAATACCCAAGGGAAGTGCAGAAAGTGTTCTCCTCCCTCTTCTCCCTGCAAGAGCAGGCTTGAGTGCCCAGAGACGGTCCCAAAACTCTGTCAGAGGATGCTTTCCCCTTTGTCCCCCAGTTCAGCACATGAGCCCCAAGACCAGGGCGTGCACATCTTCCCACCCAGATTGCAAAGACAGCATCTCCTCACCAGAGAGCTGGCATGGCCACCTGAGCATCCCCATGGTCCCACGGGTGTCCACGCCACAGCTAACTCAGCTCAGCCCCTGCTTGATGCACACAGCTGCTCCACAGCACTCCTAGCTGTGCTGGGAACTAACTGTGCTGTCTGAGCCCACCCCAGTGTCATGATGTCTCCCTAGGAATGCCTGTAAGTCCTTCACTGACTTAATCTCCAGCCTTGGAGATAGAAATGGCTGCTCCCAGTCCCCATTTCCTACATCTCTGTTCTGGCTCTTGGTCCTGGCTCTTGCACCTGTCGGAGCATGGGCAGGATTTGGCAGAGCTGAGCTGCCAGGTCACAGGCATTGCCCATGTCCAGTGAAATGGATGGCCTGCTGTGGGGAAGGACCAGAAGCACCCACTGGATTCCAGCAAGATTCAGGTCCTAAACACCTGATCTCACTCATCAGTGGTTTGGTATCACCTGGATCCAGCCTCAGCCTGGGAAAGGAATTTGGGGCTGGGAGGAGCAGAGGGAGGTGGAAACGAAGGAAGAGACTTCACAATCAGTATGGAAGAAGGAATGAAAAACAAACCACTGCTTACAAACAAAGAACTGAACAAAGATAAAAGAAACTGAGAATGTATTTTTAAAGTATAAGCTGTGGAAGGGAAGGGGCTGAGACAGCTGAAGGCATCCTGTAGGTAGGGTCAGGGGAAGTGAAGATCAGTAAAAGCCCAGGTCACAGACTACCTTTTCCTAGACCCAGGCAGCCAGAGGAACAGCAGCCCTAGAGAGCAGGACTTATGTCCTGGACAACACC